ATCGTTGATATTGAATTGTGATAGCCCACGCGGGCACCTATGCCCACATTCCAGACAAAATAAATCCATGTTCACCATTACAATGAGACAGAAATGACACGGATAAAACGCAGACAGACGGTGGATCATCCACGTGTGTTTACCATGAATTAGTGTAAGATCTTTTTTCAGTTGCAATAGGGTAGTGTTTAATTACGCTGAATGTTTACACAAGAAGCGATAGTTGGATCGTGTTGTCGAATAGGAACGCTAGGCAGATGGAGCGGCGGAACGGGTAAAATTTTTGGAAGACGATATATTTGTTATAACCACACAGAAATTAACTCGGTACTGGATTCTCAAAGGATCGTCTTCCGGTAAGGGTTTTCTCGTCCAGATAGAACCGTCACAGGTAGTGAAATGGAAAACAGCTGGAAGCATGTAGGAATTCATCTATTATGCAAAAAACATGGGTTTTTATAGGAAAGAGCGAAGACAGAGTAATGCGTATATCAAACGATTGGTTGACTGGATTGCTGTCAACCGTCTTGATTGGTTGATGGTTCCGACCAATTACCTGCGTTCGCCTATCCTTGTTCTGGTTGGTTGTCCGAGAACAAAGCAGTTTTCGGGGAACATGCTGACTCCCTGACAAAATCAATATCACAGAGTTTTACGATTCGAACATTTTGGGGAATAAGAGAAACTCGGCTGATATAAATGCTAAGCCGCGATAGACAGAGAAGGAATCCTTGTTCAGTGGGTCCCAGAAAATCACGGGGAACAGAACAATATGATACGAAAACTGTACCGATATGCAAATGAACATGGCTGAATGTTCACTCAAAATTCTTGCAGGTTTCGTATCGGCAGGGTTAATCGATGCAGTTTACTAAAACAGGTCTGAAAAAGGAAGGTCCATTGTAGATTGCTCCCCAGTATTATACGATGCGTATTCTATTCACGGGCACCGGGTTGAAGATTGAGAGTTCCTGAAAGACTAAACATGCATTCGAAGCATGCCGATCAAGGCCAGATGTGACCGACGATATTTGCACTGGTGATAAACTGGCAGAAAATAAAGTCATATCAGGGTGGTTTAAGACAACTTGGCATAGAACCACGCCAATTTCACACATTTTAAGATCCTAGTTGGAGAGAGGAAGAATAAATCAAAGAGAAAGATTGAATGGGGTGGTGGGGGCGCAGGGATTTAGTCGCTGTCACCGGCGTGCCTTGGACCGTATGGTCCAAGACCCGCCACCGCCACTCAATTTTTGTGGTAAACAGCTTTGCTATCATCCAGTTCAGTACCATGCCTGTGGTTCGCTACTCCAGGTCTCGGGTTACAAGTTCCCATCACGGCACAGCGGATCTTCGTGACCATGGGAAAGCCAGGACTTCCAACTAACTAATCGGCTAATGACTTCGAAACAGTTCTCTTTACCGTTTATTTCTATAAATACTTCTCGGGAAATAATCTTTCAAAAACGACGACGTGATCGGACAACCAGACGACTGCAGCGTTCAAAGAGCAGGGGATTTTGATGAGGGGGGGGGTGGGAGCTGGGAAAAAATCAAGGATAAACATGATGAACGGATTTTAGGTAATTATCCGAATATTTTATCGATCAGCAGAAAGGATGGAATAAGACCTCATGTGAACTGGTGAATAATGTGCGTGAGCCAATACGTCTTGTTTCTAGTGTGGCATTCTCCTTATGTGACTGACACGAATAACCGGATAACAGTAGCAACCCGGGTCATTTACATGCTTCAAAACCTGCGGTAAAGTTGAAGGCCAAACGGTACACCGGTCCCCGGAGGATCCCCGACTTGCAGCACTGCTCTACTACCTAGAGTCTAGTTAAAAGTGTGGATGAGACCCTTAAAATCTACTTCCTACTATTTTTGAGAGGTACTACTTACGTTTGAGTAATTTTCACGCACTAAAAAGCGGTCACTGGATTCCCACGATATTCGCCATGGGATTAAAGGATTTACTTTGTAACTATAGAAAATGCACATCTACTGTCGGAGTGTTCCATTAGCATGCATGCTTGTGGGAATTACGATTGCCTGTTCCAAACGAGACGTTTTGTTCTACGCACACCAATTAATCTATACCCTCGGACTTGTTCGTATTTAACAAATAGCTTCACCCAGGCACTGTCTTGCGGATTTATAAACCTATGACTGGGGCGATCCAGCAAGCAAAACAACCCATAACATTAAAGATTAGGAGCAAACATTCACCGTATACGTAACTATGTCTTCCTTTGTGCACAATGTTGGCACGTTAGATGTGAGCTCAACAATGGTCAGTTTAGATCAGTTCAGTTCTTATAAACCAAGCACTTTCATGTGCCGGTTTTGGTTGCTCATTTCGATAAAACAGCAGAATGAAGATTAGAATATTGAAAGCAAATTCAAGCGGAAGATAGCGCTTTTATACAGACTGAAATTACAAGAATAATGAGTACATCCATGAGTGCCAATGATTGCGACATCCAGCCATATCGATGTGTCTTTACCAATCGGTGACCATGATCTCGAGGTGCGTAGCCAGGGGGCCTGACGGGACCTGTAAGCCAGTCTCCTGGTCAGGGTTTTCATACCCTCATGTCAGGTCTTAGTTCGACCGTCTTTGATCTTTCTCCAGCAGCTAGCTGCCCCGGAAAACATTGCTCGCGGTGGGAACCTATCTGGCGACATGCGTAGCACATATACCAACCAGCGTAATCTACGAGGGTCGACCACTCGCTTCAGTGGACGACCTCATCATCATCATCATTGTACAGCGTAATACAGTGAACCGAACTTCACTCATATTGCATACAAGGC